TCGATGTCACTGAACAGTGCATGTAGAAATTTTTGAAATGGTGTATCTTTGGCTATGTATATTTTCACCAGAAAAAAAAAAAGGTCAAGGAGGGGAGGGTTGACATGTTGTGGGGTTGTCAACCAATGTCATAAAACAATATGTGTACTACTGTTTCACGAGAAATTATTTGTTCTGTAAGCCTTCACCTGAAGTACAATTAAAAAAAAAAAAAATAAGAGTCTCCAAACCAATAAACAGGGTCAGGTCTCAACACAGCCTGAGTGGTGAAATATAATCCCTGTTCTGAGGAGGCAATAGCTGAAGACACTAAGGGAATTGCAAAACCTGGCTAATATGTACTGTCAGGAACCAGGGGAGATGTTTGGGAGTGGATCTTCAGGGTGTTGGAACAGGGATTGGGGTTGAGGGAAGAATAACGACAGAATACGGGAGAGTTTATTATGGGATCATCTACCCATGACTTGGAGTTTAATGTTCTTGCAAGGACACCTGAAGCTGGTCCTAATATACTTCTGGCGTGGCTGTTGAGGCTTGAACATGATAATGGCCTATAATAAATGACGTGGAGATGGTAGAACTACTCTAGTATAGTATTGAAAAAGAGAAAGTTCTAGGAGGTATGAATATTAGAATGGATTCATTATATGAGGCTTTGAAGAACCACCTATGTACATCCCCCAGAAGGATGTTCCCTTCACTAAGGGAATAAAGAATGTGCTGGAGGGGGTATACTAGCATCTGAAAAGCTCAATGGTGGTTGCCCACCAGGGGTTGACAGTACAAAATGCTGCCATGGTACTGGGCATGCTAATATCAGTGAGGATGATAGGATTCTGGGATGGCAGAGGCCATGTATTAATACTTCGATGTCAGAAGTATAATTATTATAATAGACAGTATGGCTGGAGTGGAAATCAGTGTGCCTTGATCTGCAGGGCTTCGTGACAATAGCTAATCATGGAATTCTGAGGGTCAGCTAACAAGAGTGTTACTTGATTTGTATAACCAAAAAAAATAAAAAGAGAGAGAATGCTGATGAGCAGAAAGCTAGCATACCCTGTCCCAATGAGAAAAAATGGTTCCTTAACTAGCTTCCAGTTTACAAATCCAGTGCACATTGAAGGGGAAGGCAGGTCTTCTTGAAGGGCCCTGCTACCACAAGTATATATGATATACATACCCAGAATTTTAAAGAACTGTTGGATAAAAGGTCTAAACTGAACAGATACCAGGGAACCCTAAATACCACTATTGCACCATGTATAGACAGGGATTTATGGAAGGTTATAGCACAGACCTGTAGGGTCCTGGAATAACACCATGCTTTCTGCAACAGAGAACTACTCAGGTTCCTAGCATGCTACTGGGCTTAGTAGGTAGATTGGTTACCTAACTATGGGACACGAAGTGACTAAGCTCATGGAGCCATCTCCTCATGAGCTGGGTATTATCAGATCCATGGAGTCATAAATTCAGGCAGGCACAGCAGAAATCCATTGTATAACAGAAATACTGCATTCTGGATCAGACTTGAGATTCAGAAGATACGACTAAACTATATAGACAGGTGACCCAGACTCCTATGGCACTCACCTTTGTTACACCTGCATCTCCTCAACTGATAACCCATGGTCTCGTGGGAAAAAGGGTATTTCTCTACAGTCAACTGACAGAGAAGGTAAACCTGTGGGGCTGGTTAACAGATGGCATGATATGTTGGTATTAGTTATAAATGGACTGCTTCCACACTACAATATTCAACAAGGGTGCTTCTAAAGGACTGGTGAAGGGACATCCTCTCAGTGGGCTGAGATGTGAGCTGTACATTTGGTAATCCATTTTGTATGGAGAAGGAAGCAGTCTGAAGAATAAATATACATGGACTCCTGGTAGAAGTAAATGACTTGGCAGGTTGGTCAGGAGCTTGGAAGGAGCAAGAGTGAAAAGTCAAAGACAAATCTGGGGATCAGAGTTGCCACAAAGCATGCAGATCCTTGTATTTCATGTTAATGCCCACCAGAAAGCATCCACTACAGAGAAAGCACTCAACAGTCAAGTAGACCAGACGATGTCAGCTTCTCTTATCAGTCACCCTGGCATAACGGGCCCATATATGGAATGGTCATGATGGCAGGTATTGAAGCTCTACCTGGGCCCAATATCATGGGCTTCCTCCCACCAAGGCTTATTTATTTACTGCCATTTCCAAATGCTTAACTTGCCAGCAATAGGGTTTGATGTTGAGCCTTCAGTATGGCACCATCCCTCAAGGATGGCAGGTTGATTCCTTTGAATTCCTTCCACCCAGGAGGGGGCAGTGATTTGTTCTTATTGGAATTAACATCTACTGCCAATATGGATTTGTGTGCCCTGCATGCAGTGCATCCTCCAATACAATCATGCTAGGACACAGAGAATGCCAGATTTATTGTCATGATGTCTCACATACCATTAACTCAAGGGACCAATTTTTGGGGGGAGAGGAGGTGGGGCAATGGATCCACTGGTCTTGCCACATACCTAAATACCAGAAGCAGCCAGCATAAATAGCACCAGCTATAGAACAGTACTTTACAGAATTGGAGTGCTGTCTTCCAAGATTTGACAAATATGCTTAAACAAGGACTGATATATATCCCCTGTGGTTAAAATACACAGGTCTGGGAACCAATGAATGGAAGTGGGATTAACCTCTCTCACTATCACAATCAGTGACCTACTGGAAGAACTTGTATTTCTCTTTCCTACAACATAGGCTCAGCTGGATTAGAGGTTTTGATTCTCAGGGGGCAGGGGGATGCTTTCACCAGGGGGACCAAGTAAGGAAAGGATCCCAGTGAATTGGATTCTATGACTATCACATTGTCACTTTGGGCTCCCCATATCAGTGGACAAGCAGTCAAAGAAAGGAGCTATTATACTGGCGGGGATTATTTATGCTGATTACCATAAGGAGCTAAAGAGGAGTATGTCTGGAACAAAAGATTCACCGATGTGTCACTTTTGAGCCTCATGATAATGGTGAATGGGCAATCACAGCAACTATTGCAAGGCATCTAAGGGCTCAGATCCATTGACAAGGAAATCTGGGTCACACTATCAGGCGAGCAGTCTAGTGAAGTGATGGTCAAAGGTGAGTGAAATTTAGAATGGGTGATGGAGAAGGAGCTAATGAGTCAATTTTGGCCTCAAGACCAGCTGGAGCGATGACTGTAGTTTGGTGGTTCCCAAGGTGTGGCCCTTTGATTAGCAGCATCAGCATCACTTGGTAACTTGTTAGAAATGCAAATTCTTGCCCCCACCCCACCCTAGACTTACTAAATCAACAACTCTGGGGTGGGACCTCAGGGTCTGTAGTTTAACAAACCCTCCAGGTGATTCTGATGTACTAGAGTTTGGGAACCACTGCTGTGGCTTGGTCCACAAATCTGCATTGTGTCCTTCCAGGTCCCACCACCTTGAAGGAGACTGACTTGGTGATGGATTGGATTTGACAGGGTGAATCTGAGTGGATCAAGGGATGGGGCAGGCTGTATCAGACAGCTCCTGTGCATCAACCCCTCCAGATCCCTTCAGCCACACTTCTTCCTCCAGCCACTGATGCAGTGACCACTTCCATGCAGGTTTTGACAGCTTCATGTAGGTGCTACCTGAGGGCACCTCATCCCAGGCCAATGCTGTGTACCTCTTAACTTCTTACTCCGGGGATTCTCTGACACGAAAGCATAGGAAGCATGGGGAACCCACTTGGCACTCAACAGCACAATCTGGAAGTGTAGGACAGATGACACACATGAGGCCACCCTTGACCAATGGTGGACAGGAACTGATGGGTAAATGCCATCCCCCTTTTGTCCCCTGGCAGGGGCAGATTATACACGGTGCTTACCTTGCTTACCAGATCATCTGAAGTGAACATTTTCACATTTTTTCACATCAAAGATTCTGCTTCTAAGTATGGCTGGCATTTGCCTTTCTGCCAACCCCACAGCACCTTCCTACAGAATCAAAGACTTTTTTCAAATTTATAATCCCTGACAGGGCTGGATGACCCAGTAAGCAAGGTACACACAGGCTTACTTGTGCTTGCTTATTAATCTGTAGTGAACAATTTCACATAGGTTTCACCACATCAATTGTTCACCACAGATTAATAAGTAAGTGCAAGGTAAGCCTGTGCTTACCTTGCCTATTGGACAATCTGCCCCTGTCCCTGGACAGACACCTGAGATGTGTTTCATAAGGCTAGTCAAAGGCCCTACAGGATTGAACACCAGTCACTTGTAGCAGTGGCCAACTTGATAATGTACCTTTGTTTTGGCTTTCCCTCTTCCCGTTTCTCTCCCTGTCCCTCACTCCTGCTTTCTGGGATCACTTTCCAAATAAACTTCTCTACATGGAAGCCTTTATCTTAGGCTCTGTTTTGGGGGAACCGAGTCTCAAACCTCCTAGCTGCCTAGAATGCTCTTGACCTGCTTTTCAATAGTGACTCCTGCTTCTCATTCAGATCTCGGACTGCCATCTACTTTCTAACGATCTACTCCAAAGTCGAAAGCCTATTAATATCAGATCACCCTTTTTTAATTCTCTGCATACAATTTATCATCAATTTTTTCTTTTAAAAAAGATGTGTGTGTGTGTGTATAATCTGCTGATGTCTTTTGCACTAGAACATCCTGCACACGAGAGGAAGAACCTGGCTTATCTTATTCTTTGCTGTTTCCCCAGAACCTTAAACAGTGCCTGCCACATAGTGGGCACTGAATAAATATTTGTTGATTAAATGAATGAATTCCAGATTTTGAGAGAAAGACAAGGTCCCAAATCAAGCTAAAATCTGAGCTAATGTACTTTTGGAAAAAAAGAAAATGCATAGCTCAAAGGCATCCATTTAAGTTTATTTAAAAATTACAAAAATGTCTTCACTCAAGTTGTCTGTGAAAAAATTTAAAAGCAGCAACAATGATTTTGGTTAATTACCAGCAGTCTAATGCAATTTATAAAATTGAACAAAATTTGGACGTGTGTCTTATACCTCTGTAGACACGGGACCCTTTCTTTAGGTCCCTTTCTTTAGGGTCTGGAAGTATCATTATTGGGACACTTTCCAATGCCTTTTTTCTTTGGACTCTATGTAAAATGATTCGATAGATCCCTGTGATTGAACTTCGAGCATCTCTTCCTTGGTTATTTCGAATATGCACTTCTGTAATACCCAAGTGTTCTAAAGTGCTTTTGACCTCATTTTCTTCTTCTTTGAGGGTGCTGGTTTCTGACAAATGTTTCGGATCCAGTTGGAAGGGTTCCAAAGGGATGGGGTATGGTACCCCTTGCATCCATTCATTGTTCATGATGTGGTCAATCCCATACCTCTCTGTGGGTATTGGCTGAAGGACTCCTCGGATGAGCCGGTGGCAGGGCTCCGACACATGCAGAGGCATGCTGTACGTGCCCTCGAGGATGCTCTTCTTCAGTTTGGCCACTGTCTCTGCCCGAAACGGCATGGTGCCAGTCACCATAAAGTACAGAAGCACCCCCAAGGCCCAGATGTCCACGTAAATGCCAACATAGTGCTCATCTTGGAAAAGTTCAGGGGCAGCATAGGGAGGAGACCCACAGAAAGTGTTCAGCATTTCACCTTTTTTACTTACTGTGCTGAATCCAAAATCGCCCACCTTCACACAAGTATTACTAGTATAGAATACATTTTCTGCCTTTAGATCTCGATGAATAATTTGGTTTTCATGCTGTGAAGGAAGACATAAGCGAAGAGTTACCATTTTCTAAGTAAAATACTAAAAGCAAAAAATTCATCAGTTGCTCTGAGACAGTGAGGTGATGTAATAACAGAAACTCAGTGGAGATCAACATAGATCATGTCAGCAAACCTTTAGAGTAGCCCTGTCATAACCTTTAGCCAAATGCAACACCCCTACCCACAAAGCAGATCAAAGGTTCTATTCTTCCACGGGGTGAGGGCTGGAGCCTGTTGCACACATGTGGACTCAGGAATTAGTGCCAGAAATAAGAACGGGATCTTATGAAATTACATGTTCCAAAACACAATGAAACAGTCATCCTTAGTGTTTCTGGCTGAGTGATCTCTTGACTGAGGCCAAGAACAGGAAGGCTTGGAGCCCTCCCTTGACTTTTCAACCATGCTCCTTTGGGTGGCCACCTTTATCCTTACAGAATTCAGTAGAGGAGACAAGACTGTATTTGGCAAGGTTCTAACAACAGGTCCCACTGTGGGTTGTGAGCTGCATGCCTTATCCCCATCCCGCCACTTGCATTCTGGATCTAGACAGAAGATCTTTTGAGAATCCTTGACCTATTTAATCTCAAGGGCTCTGGGAAATGGTTGAATGTTACTTTTCCCAGTGAGCTTCCTGGGGTGAAAATCCAGGCTTTGGAGCCTGATAGTTTGGTTAATTCTAGGTTCAACTATGCCAGCTGTGTAATGTGAGTGTCAGTTTCTTCCTTTTAAATGGGGACATTGACAACCACCTCACAAGGCTGCTATGAGAACTGTAGATGATGCTGTATCTACAGTGCTCAGCATAGTACTGGCACATAGTCTATGATTCACCCTCTTTTCAGAGAGCTGGGAGGAATGGCAGGGTGTAGAGCTTCAGAGGACTCATGTCTGCACCCTCTACTGCTAGATTCTCTTCTGCTCTCCCACCAGATTTATTTTCCAAGTAGAATGTGGAAGATTCTTTGCCTATCAGTTCTATTGCTTGGTATGGGCCTGGCCCGGGGAAAGGTCACCCACAGCACTTGTTAAAAACTCTTTGCCATCAAGACAATTCTGACTCATAGTGATCCTATAGGACAGAGTAGAACTGCCCCATAGGGTTTCCAAAGCTGTAATCTTTATGGAAGCAGACTGCCACATCTTCTCCCCTTCCACCCAGCACAGGACCATTTAAATGACAACTGGTGGTACCATAGGTCTGAAACACCCACCACCACCTCGGACTCCTCTCTCTTGCTCACTTCTTTTTCCTCCCCCATCTCCTCCTTACTGCTATTTTGGGTCCTCTAGGTCACTAATGGAAACCCTGGTGGTGTAGTGGTTAAGAGCTCCAGCTGCTAACCAAAAGGTTGGCAGTTCAAATCCAGCAGGTACTCCTTAGAAACTCTATGGGGCAGTTCTACTCTGTCCTATAGGGTCGCTATGAGTCGGAATTGACTCGATGGAAACAGGTTTTGTTTGTTTGTTTGTTTTAAATTACTAATTCTCCTGCTGGTGGATCTTTGGCCAGAAGATCACTGGCCCCAGTTCTTGCCTCTCGGAGGAGTGAACTAAAAACAGCCTCTCAACTAATTTAGACCCCAGACAAGTGTCTCTTTTCTGCCAGTTCGACAGACCAGTAGGACTGAGATCTGGGTACAGAGAGAGGCCAAAACTTTTATGCCAACAGGTGGTAGTCAGGTCTACAGTTCAAGTTCCTCCTGTGTGCCCAGCAATATGGCCAGCAATAGAGAGGGCACAAAAGAATCAGTTCTTAGAGGAACTAAGGCGTCTGCTTAAGAGTCCAGATTTGCCTAAAGAAATAATCAGAGAACTAAAATAAGAATGACATAATCAAGTGTTAATCTGCTGGGCAGACAGGCAGTAAGAGCTAGAGGAGTTCACCAAAGGCAACAAAGATCAATGTGAGCTGATGTGGGATTGAAGAAAGTTCCAGAGAGGGAGACAGAACTGAGCTGGGTCATGAAATATGGGTACGGTTTGGAATGTGAGAAGAGATTAGAGGGGAGAGGACATCCTAGACACAGTTAGAAAGGCAAGGCCAGGAAGCAGAGAAGAGCCAGCTGTCCTGGTAGTAGATTAGGTTCCAGAAATGAGTGTGTTTAGGGAGTGGGTGATGTTCATCCTGGCTTCTCAGAGGGCCTCCTGCCAACCTCCCCAGAAGTTAGGAGGCTGCTGTGTAAGTGGAGATCTCTGGACATTGCTTCAGAGGCAACCAGCACCATCCTAGCCAGACTTGTGACTCTCATAGAGGGACTACTGTCTGCCCTTGCAGGACTAAAGCCATCTGGAATGCTTAAATGATGGTAACCTAAAGCCCCACACTCCCAATGGTGGAGTGGGGGCAGGACTTTCATTCCTGGGGCCCCTCCTCACCATGTGCTTCACAGCGGACACGATCTGGGAGAAGATGAGCTTGCTTTCTGGTTCTGACATCTTCCCTTCAGTGCTAATTTTCCCAAAGAGCTCCCCGCCCCCTGCATACTCCATCACCAAGTGGAGCTTGGATAGGGTCTCCACAACTTCATAAAGGCGGATGATGTTGGGATGGTGCAGTTTTTCCATGCTGGAGATTTCTCGAGATAGTAACCTTTGCGTTTTCTGGTCTAATTTGGTCTTGTCCAGGATCTTAACGGCCACTTTTTCTGGAAGGAGAAAAAAAAAAGTCAAAGGTTATGCCAGAGATCATAGGAGCATAGGTTATTTAGGACAGAAAAGGATCTAGATCAGCCCCTCTATTTTACAGGCACAGAGGTTAAGTGGCTTTCCTCAGCTCACAGAGCTCAGAAACAGTAATGACAGACAGCAATTCTTGAGTTCACGGTCAGTGACCTTTCCTTTGACCAGTCTGAGTCTTCCACACGCAGGTTTTGATGCCAACTCCTGACTCCAAAGGGAGGTTTAGTGTTTGATGATGCCTATCTAGCTTTCAGGATGAAGTTGAAACTCCTTTGCTTAACCCAGAGAGCCCTTCTTTATCAGACATAGTCCATCTCTTCAGCATCAACTTCCATCATTTCCATCCACAGTCCCCACGTCCACATGCACCCTTCAGTCCAACCGTTACAGAACTTTTTGCTCTTCCTTAGAAAGGCCCTGAACATTCATGCCTGAGAACCTTTCCTCTACCTTCTCCCTATCACTCTTTCCCTGTTCTTCTGATGATCCTTCAAGGTAAGCCTCAGAGTTAACTCCTTCCAGGAAGCCTTCTAACACTTGACCTTGTTTGATCATGACGTCCAAATTCTGTGTATCCAACGTAGGGAGCCCTGGTGGCACAGTGGTTAAGAGTTTGGCTGCTAACCAGTAGGTTAGCAGTTCAAATTCACCAGCGGCGCCTTGGAAACCCTAAGGGGAAGTTCTACTCTGTCCTATAGGGTTGCTATGAGTCAGAATCGACTCGACAGCAATGGGTTTAGATCTTCAATGCACTGTAATCCCAGCACAAATCCCTGGTTTGTCTCCCCCTCGTACATCCTTTCCTGTGTGGACTTTGTTTTATTTGATTTTGTTAGTATCTGGCACGTAATATAACAGTACATGACACACCAGAACACAGGGCTTAAGGAATGTTAGTGAGGACATGAGGAAATGAGCCCTGCAATATGCTGCTGGTAGAGGATTAAAATGGTCCAACTCTTCTGGGTTGTAGTTTGGAATTATGTATCGAAAGCCTTAAAAATGGTCATACCCTTTGACCCAGCCATTTCACTTTTAGCAATTAATCTTAAGAAAATACTCTTATACATGTACAAGGATGTATGCATAAGAAAGTTACTGTGAGGACAAATGTCATATTATCTTACTTATATGAAATATCTAGAATAGGCAAATATATAGTGATCAAAGTTTATCAGTGGTTGCCAGGATGAGAGGGAGGGGAAAAGGGGGAAACATTGTTTAGGAAGCACTGAGTTTCTGTTTATGGTGATGAAAAATGTGGCAGTGGATGCTGGTGGTAGGTACACAGCATGATTATTGTAATTAGTGTCACTAAACTGTACACATGAAAAATTTCTGTTTTGGCAAATGTGTTATATATATCTTTACAATTAAAAAATTTTTTTTCAAAATAAAACATAAAAGATTACTGTGACACTAGAAAGAGCTCACAGGTCCAGCAAGAGGGGCTGTTAATGTAAAGTGTGGTACATCTCTCTAATGGCACATCATGCAGCTATCAAAAATGACAATGCTGATCTTTATTTATTGATATAAAAAGATGTTCAACATATAACAAGTGAGGAAAAATACAAGTACACATTTTCATAGAAAAAAATCTGGCAGGATATTCACCAAAACGTTTAGAATCATTCTCTAATCAGGGGGTCATATATCAGTTCCCTTTTTTTATATTACTTGTCTGTATTTTCTGTTTTTTCTGTAATGAAATAGACTAATTGTGTAAGAAAAATGGCTAATATTTGAAAACGAATGAATCTCTACTCCAAAGTAAAACTTTTTTACTCCAAAGTAAAACTCATTTTTTGGTTCCAACTGGGCCGGACTTTCTATTGGATAAAGAAGAATTTACCAGGCAAGTAGACAGGGAGAAAAGAATTGCAGGGTCCATGTTTAGCCTACTTGTAAAACAACTACTTTGAAGAACTTTGGCACAGTGGTTATTAGCATGAAAATAGGTGCCACTAGTTTAAAGTAGGGACAGTGGTAGGTCGGTGGTAGAATTCTCACCTTCCATGCCAGAGACCCAGGTTTGATTCCCAGCCAACGTACCTCATGTGCAGCCACCACCCTTCTGTCAATGGAGGCTTGCTTGTTGCTAATATGCTGAATAGGTTTCAGTGGAGCTTCCAGACTAAGACAGACTAGGAAGAATGGCCTGGCGATCTACCTCCAAAAAAATTAGCCAATGAAAACCTTATGGATCATAACTGTCCAATCCCGTTGGGCATGGGGTCGCCGTGAGTCACAGGCTGACTCAAAGAAAGCGGCGAACAGCAACAGTTTAAAATGGGCATCTTATCTGTATATTAAAGCAGGCCCATTAGAGGTTCTGGAGTGGATTCACAAGTGTCTGATCTGGCCAGCACTTCCTCTAATGAAAGCAATATTGAGCACTGAGGAGGCAAAGCATAAAGAAGCAGAACAACGTATGCATACGCATGTTCATTGCAGCATTATTCACAATAGCAAAAAGATGGAAACGACCTAAGTGCCCATCAACAAATGAATGGATAAACAAATTATGGTATATATATACACAATGGAACTCTATGCAATGATAAAGAACAATGATGAATCCATGAAACATCTCACAACATGGATGTATCTGGAGGGCATTATGCTGAGTGAAATAAGTCAATCACAAAAAGACAAATATTGTATGAGACCACTATTATAAAAACTCAAGAAAAGGTTTACACACAGGAAAAAAAAACAACACTTTGATTGTTACAAGGGAGGGGAGGGATGGGGAGAGGAAATCACTAACTAGACAGTAGACAAGTGTCAAATTTGGTGAAGGGAAAGACAACATACAACATAGGGGAAATCAACACAACTTGATCAAAGTCAGAGAAGCTTCACAGAGACATCCAAACGTCTTGAGAGATCGAGTTGCTGGGCCTGAGGGCCGGGGACCATGGTCTCGGGAGACACCTAGGTCAACTGGCATAACATAGTTCATAAAGAAAATGTTCTACAGCCTACTTTGCTGAGTAGTGTCTGGGTCTTAAAAGCTTGCAAGCAGCCATCTAAGATACATCTATTGGTCCCATCCCATCTGGAGCAAAGGAGAATGAACAAAACCAAAGACACAAGGAAAATACTAGTCCAAAGGACTAATGGACCACATGAACCACAGCCTCCACTAGCCTGAGTCCAGAAGAACTAGATGGTGCCCAGCTACCACCACCTACCGCTCTGACAGGAATCACGATAGAGGGTCCTGGACAGAGTAGAAGAAAAATGTAGAATGAAATTCAAATTCACAAAAGAAAGACCAGACTTGCTGGTGTGACAGAGACTGGAGGAACCTCCTAGACTGTGGCCCCCGGAGACGCTGCTAACTTGAGTTGAAGCCACTCCTGAAGCCCACTTTTCAGGTAAAGATTAGACAGGCCTAGCCCTGGTGGCACAGTGATTAAGAGCTTGGCTGCTAACCAAAATGCTGGCAGTTCGAATCCACCAGCTGCTCTTTGGAAACCCTATGGGGCAGTTGTACTCTGTCCTATAGGGTCCGACAGCAACGGGTATAAAACAAACAATAACACACGTGAGGAACATGCTTCTTAGTTCAATCAGGTATACGAGACCAAATGGGCAACTCCTGCCCAAAGGCAGGACAAGAAGGCAGGAAGGAACAGCAAAACTGGATGAAGGGACATGGGGAACCCAGGGTAGAAAGGAGGAGAGTGCTGACACATTGTGGAAATTGCAACCAATGTCACAAAACAATTTGTGTATAAATTTTTGAATGAGAAAATAATTTGCACCATAAACTTTCACCTAAAGCACAATAGAATTAAAATAAATAAATAAATAAAAGAAGCACAACACTCAGGGTTGAATAATTGAGCTGGCAGTCCACCCCAGAAAATGGACCTCCAACTTCAATCCTTCAGGTCTTTTTGGGCCCCCTCTTTTCTACTTTTTAATTTTTAGGATTAAGATTCTCTTCAGGCTGTTTACCTGAAGTTTTGTGTAGCCCCTTGGGTGATCTGTTATTTTAAGTGCTAAAGTAATGAACCACCCCCCAGCTCCCCATCTTGTAGAAAGCCTGTAGAATAATCCATTGCTTCTCCTCGGCTCTCCCCATCCGCGACTCGGACATCTATTAAGGTATTTATCACCCTCTGCAGCTCCTCTCCTCCCTGTGGCAATGGAACACCATTCTACACATTGTGAGGGTTCAATAATCGTGTGGGGTACAGCGTTCAGGTTGCTGTTACAAACCTCCCTTTAGCATAATCCTGGGTGGTGCAAACAGTTAACACCCTCAGCTACTAACCGAAAGGCGTAAGGTTGGAGTCTACCCAGAGGGGCCTCAGAAGAAAGGCCTGGCCATCTGTTTCTGAAAAATCAGCCACTGGGGCACAGTTCTACTCTGACACATATGGGGCTGCCATGGGTTGCAACTGATTCCACAGCGACTGGTTTTTAATCTTATTTTAATTTTATGGGATGCTTAGCTAAGGCTTCCCTCGCAGTGCCAGGAATCGAGTGAGGAATCGAGAGAGTGACTGCTTCCTTAAATTCTGCGTTTTAGGCACTTCGTTTGCCTCACTCTAGTCCTGACCCCTTTCCTCCACTTTGTGCTAAATTAGATTATAGACATGCCTCAAAGCATAAATACATAATCATTTAAAAATCTTAAAAGCCCTGTCACTAGGTGGTAGGAACTGCACTTCTGTGAAGGACTTGGTCTCTAAATCCATTCTTTCTAAAAATGTTCAGGGAGCACATGCTATGCGCCAGGCATTCAAAAAGACAGATCTTGTCTCTACAGTCCAGGAAGGGAGACAGAATTTGAAAAAAACATTCTTGCAAGTGTGGTAAGCACTAGGAAGGGGTATGGACGGGAGAACGGGACAGTCTCCTGGAGTAAGGACACTTAAGTTGTGCCCAGGAGGTGAGGAGGGAGGCCCAAGACTTGGCCGTGGGAGTGGCACGTGCGCCAGGCCAG